TTAAATTATATTGATTAATTAAATCTTGTTATTATTTTTTTGTAATTCCATCACTTATTTGTTTCTTCCAGTTTTATATAATATCTGGAATTCTTAAATGCAATCAATGTGATCAATAGCTGAATCAACATTAACATGTTTAAAAAAAATTGCTTTAACTCTTACTTTTTTTCTGAAGATAAATTAGATTAAGTAAGATTATTTAGTAACTGTTGCTACTTTCCATTTTATTTAAGCTTTATTATTAGTTAATCCAACTAATTCTTTGTTTGCTCAAAATGACTTACTTTTATAGATAATCCATCCTTATTATACATTATTTATAAGATCTATAGAAAGGTAATCATAAACGTAAATTTCATCAATTCTTCTTGTGTCTTATATTTAACTAGATTGAAAATATTTTCTTGAATTTTATCATTTAACTTTGACTACAGTTAAATATACAATTACAATTTATCGTCCTTATCTTACCCTCCACCTTTTATCTCTAAATTCATTTTTAAAATAATGAGATAAAATACTTTACATGACAAAGATTAATTTTGATTATAACCCTTAAAATTAATATACCTTTAAGATATTACCTGATCTTATTTTAAGGTGCCATATTGACAAATTCCTTTTGTTATATATCACTCTTGAACTTTAAAAAACCTTAAAAAGTAGTACTTTAACCTGAAAAACTTTTGACTGGTTTAGAGGGAACTAATCTCACCTTTTGCTTTTGGCCTTAAAAGTTTTGATGATGGAAAGTGTAGAATTTGATCTAGCTCAAGTCTCTAAGAAGAAAGTAAGTATTTGAGTGTGTGCTTGATAATGAGCAGACAATGAATCACATAAAATATGGATAGGGGTCTATGAGAGATTCATCCTTATCTTAAAAAGATAAAAGAATCAACAGCATTTAAAATGATTCTTCATAAATCTGTTATTTATGCCAATCTTTAACTTAGCAGCTATTCAAAAAGGGTTCTCCTTTTTTTTGAACAAGGAATTCTCAGATATTTATATAAAAATTCATGAAATAAAATATCAACTTGTTTTGGTTTATAAATAAACAAAAAATGCTTTTTACAAAATGAAATTTTACTTTTCAATTGTTGGGCATTTTCTGCAACATGAAATTTACATTTGATTGTCAAAATGCTCTACTTTTAAGGTAGGAATCTTCGAAATTAAACTTTGATTTTAAAACAACCCCAAATATACAATTATCGATAGGATATTATCAAACTATAACTAAAAAATGAAAATATTTGCCATTAGTAGTATTTTATATTTTATAATTTAATTGTATGCAGAAAAAATCGAAATATATTGGAGAAAGTTCAAAAAAATTGTTAATTTGACTAATATTAAAAGCAAGTTTAAACTCTAATTAAAAGAGAGATTTCTTATGAATAATATAAATTTAATTTTGATCAGAATTTTAAATCATAAATTCATCTTATAAAGGAGTTGCTATAAATATTATATGGGTTCAAAATAGAGACTTAACAATTCGTTATATGAATGATTATTACTATAAATCAAAGAATTGAGCATTATTCAATATTTTTTAACTATAGTTGCTTAAATAATGATTTAGAATTTAAAATATGTTTTTTTTTTAATTCTAATAAAGAATATGTTCAATATTTTCAAATTTGGACAAGACAATGTAAATCATCTTTGTACTTTCATTAGTGTCTACTGATGCAATTTTTAAGTAATGTAAATTGCTTCTATCTTTGTAGTATTTGTAGTTCTGGATGCTTATCAGTGAAATTAATTTGAATCCCTTATTTCCAAATATTAAAATCATCATCATAATCAAGTAATTGATTGATATCTTCATTTCTAACTGAGTCTGTTCCTCTTTAATTATCTTCAATTTTGAGATTAAGATTTTAATCAAGAAAAATGGATTATCATTCTATGTACATAATAAATTAACAATCCTCTTTGGATATTCAATCTTGTTTCTTGTTGTTAAATTTTCCATGAGCTTTTGGTTATTGCTATAATTATATTACTTATGATAAATTGGTACGTAATGGATTAATTTTGTTGCTATCTTGAAAAAAACACAAGTTATATATAACAGATATAGTATATACCTTAACTGGTTTTTATAATAATTATCAGATATCAACCGCTGGGTGTTGAACAGGTCTCTTGTAATCAATTAACTAAAATTATAGTATGTCATTCTATTTTCTTATTAAGCTATATACTCTGAATATGATCGGCCATAAGTTTTTTATCATATCTGAGAGGTTTTTAAAACCGATTTCATTTCATTACAACTGTTTATGATTTCAAATATTTGGTAACTTTTATCGTTATCCTTTTAAGGGGTTTTTTTTAATCTTGTCTATTTACAAATTTCTAAAAAATTTTTTTATATCTGAGCTTTCAATCAAAAAACTGTAAATACTAAATATCACCTAGAAGCAATTCCTTACAAAAACTGTTTCCTGTCTAAAATATATGTAATTTAAAGGTTTGCTTCCTTTAAAAACTACTTTCAAATAAAGTCTTCGTTAGATGTTTGCTCAAATTCGA